TAGCCCCAGTGTTTAGTTAGTACATAAATATTAGCTCTGGGGTTCACTCATGGTATTCTGATCTAGGCTCCATGCTCTGTCTACTATCTAACATTGTATGTGAGGCCGGCACCGCGGCTCACTAGGCTAATCCTCCGCCTTGCGGCGCCAGCACACCGGGTTCTAGTCCCGGTCAGGGCGCCAGATTCTGTCCCGGTTGCCCCTCTTCCAGACCAGCTCTCTGCTGTGGCCAGGGAGTGCAGTGGAGGATGGCCCAAGTACTTGAGCCCTGCACCCCATGGGAGACCAGGAGAAGTACCTGGCTCCTGCCATTGGATCAGCGCGGTGCGCCGGCCGCAGCGCACCGGCCACGGCGGCCATTGGAGGGTGAACCAACGGCAAAAGGAAGACCTTTCTCTCTGTCTCTCTCTCTCACTGTCCACTCTGCCTGTCAAAAACAACAACAACAACAACACTGTATGTGAATTCTAAAATAACCTGGGGCCAGTGTTGTCTCATATGGGCACTGGTTTGAGTTCTGGCTGCTCGACCTCTGATCCAGCTCCTTGTTAACGCACCCGAGAAAGCAGCAGAATACAGCCCAAGTGCTTGGGCCCCTGCACCCATTTGGGAAACCCAGAAGAAGCTCCTGGCTCCTGGCTTCAGGTTGGCTCAGCTAAGCTCCGGCCGTTGTGGCCATTTGAGGAGTGAACCAGTGGATGGATGATACTCCCCCCTCCCCCTGTCTTTACCTTTCTCTGCAACTCTTTCAAATAAGTAAGATAAATCTTATTTTTTTAATTTTTATTTATTTATTTATTTATTTTGACAGGCAGAGTTAGACAGTGAGAGAGAGAGAGACAGAGAGAAAGGTCTTCCTTTTTCCGTTGGTTTACCCCACAAGTGGCCGCTACGGCTGGCGCGTTGCGGCCGCCGTGCTGCGCCAATCCGAAGCCAGGAGCCAGGTGCTTCCTCCTGGTCTCCCATGTGGGTGCAGGGCCCAAGCACTTGGGCCATCCTCCACTGCCTTCCCGGGCCACAGCAGAGAGCTGGACTGGAAGAGGAACAATTGGGACAGAATCTGGCTCCCCGACTGGGACTAAAACCCGGGGTGCTGGCGCCGCAGGCAGAGGATTAGCCTAGTGAGCCGCGGCACCGGCCAAGATAAATCTTAAAAAAAAAAAAAAAAGGGAGAAGAAGAAGAAGAGACAGAACAAGAGAGAAAAGAAGAAAGAAAATGGGTGAGAGAGAGAGAGAGAGAGAGAGCACGATCTCTTTACTGGCTCACTCCTCAAATGGCTGTAACAGCCAGGTCTGGGTCAGGCCACAGCCAGAAGCCAGGAGTCAAGAACTCCAACCTGGTCTCCCACATGGGTGGCAGGTGCCCAAGTACTTGAACCATCTTCTGTTGCCTTCCCAGGCACATTAGCAGGGAAACTGGATTGGAAGCAAGTAGCCAGGAACTGAAATGGCATTCTGACATGGGATTGCTGGTGTTGCAAGTGGTGGCTTAACCCGCTGTACCACAATGCCAGCCCCTGCTTCCTGACATTTAGCAGTACTGCCTTTGGGTGTTTGCTAGCAAACAACAAGAAACAGCATCTGACTTTTACACACGTTTACTTACAATGTGCTGGAGACCAAGCCTGGTGCCTTATACCATCATACCATTCAATCCTCAGAACACACCCTGGGAGGTAGGTACTGTTGTTATTCCTATTTTTAAATATGAGGAAACTGAGAGGTTAAGGAGCTTGCACAGAGTCACGTAGAAGGAAAATGGTGGAGCTAAGTTCCTAAGCCCAGATGGCCTTGACTGCAGAGCTCAAACTCCTAACCATTACAGCACCTCTCAGGCAAATAGAAAAAAACCCAAACACCAAATCTCCTCCAAGTCTAGAAAACAGGGAATTAAAGAATAAGGTCACTATAGACTCAGGTTGGCATCAGAAGGCTTTCAGGGACAAGACTCTAAGCAAGGCACAAAGCAGAGTGGGATTTCTTGGGTAAAGCTGAGAACAGAGAACAGCACAAGAACGGAGCCATCCAATCACAGCCACCACTCGCCAGGTGGAGCACAGAAGGCATCAGCCAAAAAGCAGTAGGCCAGCTGATTTTTAGTAGAATCTCAGTCTGCTTCTGTCCCCTTGTTTCCTTCTTTCCGGTTCTCCAGATCCTATGGTGCCCAGATACGTAGAAAACAGAAATTCCAATATAAACAGAGTAAAGCTAAATAGGACCGAACTTTCAATTATTGACTGAAGTCTCTTCTTTCTTCCCAGTGCACTATAAATTTTCTACCTTTGATAACATTTCCTGTTTGAATATAAATCAAGCCATTTGAATTGTGTAATAGTTACTCCTGGGGCCGGCACTGTGGTGCAGTGAGTTAAAGCCCCAGCCTGCAGCACGGGCATCCCTTATGCACACTGGTTCAAGTCCCGACTGCTCCACTTCCAATCCAGCTCTCTACTATGGCCTGAGAAAGCAGTAGAAGATGGCCCAAGTCCTTAGGCCCCTGCACCCACATGGAAGACCTGGAAGAAACTCCTGGCTCCTGGCTTCTGATCAGCTAAGCTCTGGCCACTGCAGTCATTTGGGGAATGAACCAGCAGATGGGAGACCTCTCTCTCTCTCTCTGGATCTAACTCTTTCAAATAAATAAATCTTAAAAGAAAATTGTTACTCCTAATTTTATTGGAATGAGAGTACTTCCCCCTCATGTTCTCACTCTTAACTATTGAATTCTCACGGTATTTATTTATTTATTTATTTTTTTGACAGGCAGAGTGGACAGTGAGAGAGAGAGACAGAGAGAAAGGTCTTCCTTTGCCGTTGGTTCACCCTCCAGTGGCCGCCGCGGCCGGTGCGCTGCGGCCGGCGCACCGCGCTGTTCCGATGGCAGGAGCCAGGAGCCAGGTGCTTTTCCTGGTCTCCCATGGGGTGCAGGGCCCAAGCACCTGGGCCATCCTTCACTGCACTCCCGGGCCACAGCAGAGAGCTGGCCTGGAAGAGGGGCAACCGGGACAGAATCCGGCGCCCCGACCAGGACTAGAACCCGGTGTGCCGGCGCCGCTAGGTGGAGGATTAGCCTAGTGAGCCGCGGCGCCGGCCTGGAATTCTCACTTTTTAACAATTACGTGGCCAAGATGTTTTAGTATAGAGTCCAAACTTATTAATGGGCTATATGCTAAAACATTATTGTACATTAGTTGTTTGGAACTTGTAATTCATTTTCCCATGGAAACAGGAGTCAAGTTCCAAGCAGGTCTACAAAAGCTTGTTTAACCAGAAAGGTACGCAGCAGAAACGAACACTGTCACCTCTATGTTCACCTCTGCCTGGTATCCGGAGGTCTCATACTTCACCGTGTCTGCTAACCACACTTTTGCAAATTTTTTTACTACTAAAAATTATAGAAAAGGCTATCAATTTCTTTAAATAAAAAAAGTAGTAATTTGAAAGGTGAGAGAAAGAGAAATTTTCCATTTACTGGAAGTTCACTCCTGAAATTCCTGAATGGCTAGGACTGGACAAGGTTAAAGTCAGGAGCCCAGAACTCCATCAAGGTCTCCCACCCGGTGGCAGGAGCTCAAGTATTTTGGCCATCATCTGCTGCCTCCCAGACTCATTAACAAGAAATTGGATTAGAAGGGGAGGCGAGGGGTCACTGTTGTGGAGTAGCAGGTAAAGCCTCTGCCTATGATGCTGGCATACCATATGGGTGCCATTTGAGTCCTAGCTGCTCCATTTCCAATCCAGTTCCCTGCTAATAGCCTGTGAAAAGCCAGAGGCAGAGTTACAGGCAGAGAAGGGAGTGAGAGAGAGAGAAATATCTTCCATCCGCTGGTTCACTCCCAAAATGGCTACAACAGGAGGGGCTGCGCCAGAAGATTCCATCCTGGTCTCCCACTTGGGTGGAGTCCATGTACTTGGGCCATCATCAGCTGCCTCTCAGGTACATTAGCAGGAAGCTAGATTGTAAGTGGAGTAGCCAGGACTCAAACTGACACTCCCTGATATAGGGGGTGAGGGTCACAAGCAGTAGCTTAACCCAGTGTGCCACAACGACTACACCAACTTCTTCTTCTTCTTCTTCTTTTTTTTTTTTTGATAGGCAGAGTTAGACCAAGAGAGAGACAGAGAGAAAGGTCTTCCTTTTCTGTTGGTCCACCCCCAAAACGGCCACTACAGCTGGCGTGCTGCGGCCGGTGCACTGCGCCGATCTGAAGCCAGGAACCAGGTGCTTCTCCTGGTCTCCCATGAGGGAGCACAGCCCAAGGACTTGGGCCATCCTCCACTGCACTCCTGGGCCACAGCAGAGAGCTGGACTGGAAGAGGAGCAACCGGGACTAGAACCCAGGGTGCCGGCGCCACAGGCGGAGGATTAGCCTAGTGAGCCACGGTGCCAGCCCGACTACCCCAACTTCTAATCACTTCTAATTCTACCCAAATCCAATCTTTAATATGGCTTTGGGAGTTTCTTTTTATTAATCATTAGTAAATACAGCTTATTGTAGATGGTCATTTTTCTTAACAGTCAGGAGCCAATGTAATGGCCCCAAAACATCTACAGCCTGGGTGGCAATATCACATTCTCTGCCTCATCCATAACATGAGAGGTGGTGCCAGGGACACATTTTGCCCTGCTGCTGACACTATTTGCTCTCTGTTAAATCATATGGCCCTCGTGAGGATTTTTTTAAGAGATTTATTTATTTTTTTGGAAGTCAGAGTTACACAGTGAAAGGCAGAGAGAGGTCTTCCATCGCTGGTTCATTCCCCAGTTGGCTGCAACAGCTGGAGTGCGCTGATCAGAAGTTAGAAGCCAGGAGCTTCTTCCGAGTCTCCCACGCGGGAGGGCCCCTGGCCCTCATCAGGATGTAAAAACTGAAAAACAGGGGCCAGTGCTATCGTGCAGCTAGTTAAAGCCACAGCCTGCAGCGCCAGCATCCAAGGGCACTAGTTCAAGTCCAGACTGCTCTATTTCTTCTTCTTCTTTTTTTGTTTTTTAAAGATTTATTTGTTTGCTTGAAAGGCAGAGTTGGGACCAGCACTGTGGCGCAGCGGGTTAACGCTCTGGCCTGAAGCGCCGGCATCCCATATGGGCGCCGGTTCTAGTCCCAGCTGCTCCTCTTTCAATCCAGCTCTCTGCTGTGGCCTGGGAAAGCAGTAGAAGATGACCCAAGTCCTTGGGCCCCTGCACCCACGTGGGAGACCCGGAAGAAGCTCCTGGCTTCAGATTGGCATGGCTCCGGCCGTTGCAGTCAATTGGGGAGTGAACCAGTGGATGGACGATCTCTCTTTCTATCTCTACCTCTCTGTAACTCTGTCTTTCAAGTAAATAAAATAAATCTTAAAAAAAAAAAAAAAAAAAGAAAAAGAAAGAAAGAAAGAAAGAAAGAAAGGCAGAGTTACAGAGAGGCAGAGGCAGAGAGGTCTTTCATCTGCCGGTTTGCTACCCAGATGGCCACAAGAGCCAGAGCTGCACCAATCCAAAGCCAGGAGCTTCTTCTGGTCCCCCACAGGGATGCAGGGGTCCAAGGACTTGGGGCATCTTTTACTGCCATAGCAGAGAGCTGGATTGGAAGTGGAGCAGCTGGGACTCAAACTGGCAGCACCTTAACTCACTACACCACAGTGCTGGGCCCTGCACCACTTTTGAGCCAGTTCCATAATGCACCTGGAAAAGCAGTGGAGGACAGCCCAAGTCCTTGGGCCCCTGCACCCACATGGGAGACCTAGAAGAGGCTTCTGGTTCCTGGCTTCGGCCTGGCCCAGTCCTGGCCATTGCGGCCAATTGGAGAGTGAACCAGCGGACGGATGATCTCTCTATTTCCCTGCCTCTCCTTCTCTCTTTCTGTAACTCTGCTTTCAAATAAATAAATAAAGCAAACTCTCTTGGTTTCTGGTGTGTAATCTAGTAATAGTTCTCAGGTCTGTGTGCCTCTGGATTAGGTGTTAGAATTTGGAAGACTACCTGCAGAAGGCTTATATATATTTTGATTGTAGCAGATTCTTTATTTCAGACATTTCATACTCAGATAATCTACAGCTATGATGCAAATATCTGCAAATACAATGCTTATCTCAGAAACACTTTGTTGTAGGGCACAGTAACCACAGTAAAACCAAAACCTTTGTTTTAGGTAGAAACAGTACCAATGAATATTTTCAAAACAATAAATGCTTAAAGTTAAAAAAAAAAAGTATGTGTATATCTAATTTTAACTGCATGGTTTTCAGGCTGTGACTGTACCTCACTTCCATCCTGCACTCCCAGCTCCTCGGGAGTTTTTGTACTAGTTAGAGACTCTTGGTGTGGCTTTTGACTCTGCCTTTGGACATATTAAGAAAAACACCCGTATGATTAGGGAAGGTTCATATTCTTACTCCTTCCCTCCAAAAAACACTAAACACTAATAACCATGCCAACTGTCAGTGTTTATTTTAAATACTTGGTGATTCTATCAGCAAACAAACATTCACCAATACAGGCATGACTTCACTGCTTAAAGACAATTCTAATATATTAAACACGCATATGTCTTTCACTTTAAATCCATGTAACAACCTGTGGGTAAGATCTTTTAAGGATCTAGGTGGTATTTTCTTAATAACATTATTATAAAGAGGTCAATTTTACAAGACTAAAAACCATTAATACCAAAAAGCAGAGTCTAATGTAAAAACATGAAGGCAAGTGCTTCCTATTTCAACAAAGGCCCTACAGCTCCTTGTGAAGTTAAGGGACAGCAGAATAAATAAGCCAGTGCTTAACCACACACTGCTCAATGGGATCAGGAAGAAAGTCTCAGAGTACATTTCAAATAACAAATATATTTACCTCTGCATTTCTCAAAACAACTGACAGATTTACGTATTAGACTTCATGAAGGTGAATATGCGACTGATTGCCAACAAGGAATGAAGAGGGCTCCAAGGGCTGGTGACTCAAAGTTTGGTTTAGGCAAAGGACAGGTGGCAGAAACCTAGTACTTCCAAGCAGAGAGCACCGAGTTGCGGCAGGCACCTGGAAAACTCCAGGGCAGGAGAATTTAGAATCTGACAAGAAAGCTTTAGCGTCAGAAGGTCCACCCTCCCTGACAAGGAAAGACAGTTTAATGAATTGTTTTTAAAAAAGAAGAAAACTATTTTTGGGCACTTTTGGGAGAATTAAATGAGAATACATGCATAAAACATCCACTAAGTTTACTAAAATGCATTAGACACTCAATGTTATCCCAATTTGAGTAGTGGGAATTCTGGGTGGAAAAGGCGGCTTCCCAGATGTTTTCAGTAGATCTGGTAGCACTTGCAGCTTTTGGAAATCAGCGATAGCACCTGAAATGAGTTCAACGGAATCCTGAAATAAACCCTGACCAACTACATTCACCAATATTACAAACTTAATGGGATTTCTTTTTTGGCTCAGCTGTAATCCCCCAGGTTTTGGCTATGTGGCTCAATTGATGGTAAGTACCATGGATTGTAGTCGTGTACAACTCAAACTTCACAAAGAGAAAAGCATTGAAATGCAAAGATTATGCAGCATAGCCTTATCCCCTTGATAGACATCATGCAAACAAGTTTCTGAAGTCAAGAAAGGAACTACACAAAAAGGTGCAGACAACTTAATGCAAACAAATACATCTTAATTTCACGAAAAACTCAAAGCACATCTGTAAAGTCATGTCACAGAAAGCGAAAGCAAGTTGTTACCAAACATGATTTTCCAAGTCCACCACAGGCCTATGTTAAGGGAAGTAACTTCCTTGCTATGACCTATGTGTTTATCTCCAGATGTCAAGAAAACATTGTAAATATAACTTCACAACTGACGTTTCTAACGTGATAACATCAGTTAACTCTACTTCAGTTACTTTGTTTTTTTCCCATTAAAGAAGGGAAAAATAATCCACAAAAGGAAATGCAGAATATTGAGGGCTATATTCACATTTAAATGATAAAGATGAGATTCCATGGGCAAATAATAAAGAAATTTAGAAGCTCAAGTTTAAACACTTTGGAATATACTATAAATTAAAGAACTTATTCTACTGATGAGAGCCACTGATATTACAAATTTATTCCCACTAGGTTAGCCACATGTCTCAGAAAAACAACTTTTAGTACAGATCCAATTCATCAGTCTCTGTAGAACACACAAAAAGATAGTCTGGTCATTTTCTATTACTCTTCTCTTTCTTCACAAAAATAGAAATAAAGTCTCTGCCATTCATTCACCTCCAGTAAGAGTCAGCTGGAATTGATGCAAATGGGTAGCACCTTTCTCTCTTCCCTATGTGTTCCCTCCACACGGATTAATAACTTCGATCCTATTTATCTTTATGCCTTGACCATTAAAGAAAAGTAGATGCATGACATCCATTGGAATATATCAAAAGTCTCATACAGGCAAGCAGCACATGTGAGCTTTTGAAATATTTCAACTCTAGCAAAAAACAGACACATTTTTCAATTCTGTGACACAGGAAACAGCAGCAACATGTGTAAAGCACTGAAGATCCAAACTTTAAAAAATCTAAATAAATTTAAAAATCAAGTGTCTGGCTGTAATTTTTTTTCAATGAAATCCTTAATAAGAAATTTTACTTAAAACCTAAAGCTATTGTTAAAATCTATTTCAAGGTTTACAGTAGTCTTTCTTCACTGGCAGACTGTAACAGAATTAGGATTATTTTCAGAAAGGCGAGCAGTTATCCACTGGAGGAGCAGGGATGCATTTATCCCCAGTGATCCCTGCTTTTATTTGCATTGTGAAAAATCAACAGCTGTATTATGCCTTTCTGGACAGTCAATAGGTTTTATTTACATTGCTTTGAGAGGAGACAAAAGACATCTCATTACAACTGTCTCATAGCAGTCTCAGTTTTGAGGGTAATATGTAACACCAATTTTTACAGATAACGCATGGAATCATATATTTACATATACAATAGCAAATAGACAAATAAAGTGATTGCGAAGTCTCTAGAAGTACAAATTTATAAACTGACTACCAGACACCCAACTTAGACCTGTACTGGAGAAAAAAAATCATTATTAGCCTGAGAAAAAAAAATTAAGATACCACATGGGAAAAAATAAAGAGAAAACAGAAAATTATAATCACCGGAAAACCTGTGTCTTGCAAAGATTTCTTTCCATCAGAAGATGCAGAAACATTTTTCCCCCTGGAGCCCACGAAAACGGTTCTCCTGCACCCCCAGTTGCTTCCCTGCTTTCTCCCCCTGTTGCCGGTGTAGACGGCCGGTGTGGACTTTTTTCCAGAGATGAGAAGTCGAAGTTTGTACTTTATCGGCAGCGGGTGCACTTTTCCCCCCGGCCCCCCTTTGCTCTGCCTCCAAGATGGTAGGAAAGTTGTCGTTTCGGAGGGCAGAGGAGCCGCTCTCTGGTGTTATGTCCTCGCAGTGCCTGTAGTGGTGCTGTAGGAGGCTGCTGCCTCTTCTTGTGCAGCCCCGGCAGCCCTGCCTTCTTGGCTGGAGAGTATATTCAGGGATTTCCCCTTAATAATCACCGACCCCGGGAGCACTTTTGAGTTTCCAAAATAAAAATATGATCCTCACCCCTCTTGCTTGACAGGGAAAGGCTCTCTCCGGAGCCCAGGGGGGAGCAGTAGCAGCGGCAGCCGAGCTTCCTAGTCCATTGCCAGCGCCTCTCACTCTGATCTGTCAGCCCAGCCGAGGGAAAGGGGGGAAGGAGAAAAAAAAAAAAGCAGCTGAAAGGTAAGCAGAGGCGGCCCCAGGCCCGGCCCACATCCCCGGGCTCCCGTAGGGCGGCGGGCTGGGCCGCGCAGGCAGGGCGGGCGGCGAGCGCGCTTACGTGAGGACGGGGATTCGCCGGCCCACGCCAGGCCCCGGGCGGAGAATGAAAGGGTGAGTGGGGCCGGCGCCGGGCTGGCCGGGGCCGGGGCCCCGAGGGCCTTGGGGGCGCCCGCCGGCTGCCACGGCTGGCGGGCGGGGGTCGAGCCGGAGCCGGAGCGGGGCGAGCAGCGCGGCCTGTACGGGGCAGAGTCGGGGTGTGCAGCGGGAGGGGGGGCGCCGGCTAGGCCTCAGGCCGGCGGGCCCCGCGGCGGCCCCGCCCTGCCCCCGCACCCCGGGCCTCCGCGAGCCCCCGTGGGTCCCCCGGGGCTTCGGGGCGGGACGGCGGCGCTGCGGGGCCGAATCCTGAGCCGGTCGGGAGGCTCTCGCAACGGGGCGGCAGGCCTGGGCTGCTGGGCGGGGGCTTCAGGGCCTAGGAGTGGGGAATGGGCGCACGTTCCCTGAGCCCCCGGGTCTCTCTCAAACGTCCCCCGGCCCCCCGGATTCCGGTAATAGTTGAATTTATTTATCCCCCTCCTTCGCGCTCCGGGCGGCCAGGCCGGGGCGGGGCGGGCGGCCTTGGCGGGCGTGGGGTGGGGTGGAGGGGCGGTGTGGAGTCAGGTGCAGCCGCGGCCCGGAAAGTTTCCTTTTAGGCCCGAATTGGGGGCCGCCCTCTCTTCGGGGAGTCCTGGTCTTCGCGCTGGGGACCCCCGAGGGCGCGGGGGCGAGCGCTCGGCAATTTGGAAACTCCGTGCCAGTTCCTGTCCGTGGAAGGTACCCCGCCCCTGAGCCCCGCGCCCGCGCCCCACCCCGCTCCCCGCGAGCCCTCTCGGGGCTGCAAACTCCAGCCCGTTCCCCCCGGAGCCCCTCGGGTTGGGGAAGAGGGCCTTCTCTTCCGGTTTGGAAAAGTTTTCAAGGGATTTTTTTTCCCCCTTAGCTTTATTAGTTAGTGACTGGGCTTTTGGGGGTGGGAAGAGAGGAGGTAAATTCAGGTGGTGTTTCTACTGGACGGTCTTCGCCAGTCGCCGTTTTAGCTCTTACCCCACAAACCGGGGCTGTTTTATTCTGGTTGAGTGTCCACCCTCCTTGCATCCTGGACCCCTTTTGGGTCCCCAGTCCTCTTTTCGGGACGGCCCTGGCGGAGAGGAGGATGTAGGGGGCAGCAAGGAGACTGTCAGTGAACAGGGGGCAGGGCCACAGGATTTCTGGAGCAGCCCCCAGATGGAGGAGTGTCCCCTCCTTAAGTGGTCACTGTCCGGTAAAGCCAGCCCAGGATCGGAAGCCGAGTGGAGACCCTGGTTGTCAGAGGGCTGAGACGCTTTCAGCGTTGGGAGGAGGAAGGGGAGGGAGAGGAGGTGGGCAGGGCAGCTCCTGAGAGCAGGTCTGCAGTTGAAGGATCAGTACTTTGTTAGATTTGTGTGATATCCTCATATCCGACCCTGGAAATAGGAGCATGAGGGTTTTAAGGAAATTTCGACATGTTATTGCCACAACTCAGAAGGGTCTGTGCAAGAGCCCCTTGGGGGACCCGAACTTAGCTACATTTTCTGTTGCTGTTTTTTCGTTTGAATGGATTCAATTTTAGTTTTTTTTTTGGTGTCCTGAACTCTGAAAGTTTTAGCAAAAATGTCATTTGAACTTCCAAATCGAGATTTCCCGCTTTTCAGCGATAGGATGTTCCCTGTGGCTCCACTTACCCCCTTCTGCTTGGGTCTTTAGTGTTGGAGTTGAAATGTTAATGTCTCCTGGCCGCCCCCAGGGTGGGCGTGTTGGGAGAGGTTATCTTTACTGTTTGGCCCTCTGGGTTTTTAGGTGAACCCAGGGCGTGTGTTGTGTTGTGTTGTGTAGTGGGATATGTGTATGGGCGCTGCTTGGTAGCAGGCTAGAGGTCCTCCATGCCACTGTGCACTGGTCTGCTGTGAAAAGCTGCCACTCACTCGCCAAGCAACGGGTAACCCAGGACTTGGGCAGTGCCAACACAGTGACACTGCTGATGTGACTCCTATCAAGTGTGTCTGTCTCTTCCTCTTGTATGCCTAGAACAAAGCTCTGTTTCTCCACAGTGATAGCCAGTTAGCCTGTGCTTAAGAAAGTCTTGATATTTGAGATTGTATTGATTGGATACAAAATGCAAATTACATTTCATGGTTGTTTTAACTTTATTGATTAATTGAAATTGCTTATTGACTTGGGCGTTTTCATATGAATGTGTACCAAAAATCATTATTTCTATTTTAGTTTACCCTTTTTAGAACATACTGGCTGGAAAAAAATCATTCTTTGACTCTCTTCCTAGAACATTTTAAGATTTGAAAAACATTTTACTTATCATTGCATAAGGATTTGATATCTTGTGGTGTATTGTCAACTTTGCATTCTGAAGTTTTAGGAAGCTGTGTATGTGTAATGCAAAAAGTTCTATGCTTTTCCCCGTCCAGGTCCCAGGCATAAATTAGTTTCCTAGTCTAACTTCCTCATAGACTACTCTATTCCTGAAGGAATGGAAGACTTGATGTTTTAAAGCTTACATTCTGTTTGAAACTAATAAAAGCCTTTCGGGGCAAGTATTGAATTAATTTGAAATTGCTAAGGAAATATACTATCTTTACTTTTTAAAAAATAGATGTTTTAATTTTAAGTATGAAATAATCAGATTTTTCTTCCTTTGAAAGGTCTTAAAAGGTAATTTGTATATTCCATCCAAACTATCTTTCTCAGCAGATCATGTTGTTAACTATTTTTAAAGAAATGAACATTTTCATTCAGATGGATTTGAACATTTTGGAATACCTCAAATTAAAAATGCCATTTAAAAAAAAAGTGCTGATCCACTCCTTCTGACCTAAGCTGCCCCCCCCCCGGGGGGGGGGGGTTAGCTCTCTGCCCTGGTTTGGAAAGGTGATGATAGATCATGGAAGATCACTGATGGCTGAGTGCAGTTAGAGAGCAGTGTTCTCAACATGCAGCCCCCTCCCCGCAACACACACACACACACACACCTGGTCACTTACAGAAACAGTTGGTGAATAGGGGAGGCTGGGCTGTGCAGATGCCCCAGCTGTATATGCTGTGGAGTTAACATCGAAGTCCATTTAATGTATCCCAGTTCTTCTCCGTGCTTGTCAAAACAGTCTCGTTCCCACTCCTGTCCCAGGGGCCCTGATCATGACTAATTTTAGACAATGCTCTGGGCTATTCCGAGACACTTGGGGAGATACTCAGGTTAAAAGGTGAGGCCGCCCTCCTTGTGCTAAAAGTGACTGACTTCTTGATTCTGATTCTTTCAGAGAAGCCCAGTGTTTGGTGAAATTTTATTTGTAGCCTGGCATCCTGCAGTCAGACATTTGGACTGGGCTTTGAGTTCTGATCTCTTGCTCTTCCACTGGGCTGGTTCCTTCATCTTTGGTCTTTATCTGGAAATGGAAAGAAAATTCTTTGATGTAGGATTAGATGAGATAACCATGTGCTTGGCTTGTAATAGGTGCTCATTAAAAGTTAATTCCCCCAGGCTTTCTTACCTTCAGAATACCATTTCTCTCATTTGTTTGCCATTTTCTTTTCTTCTTTTTTCTTTTAAGATTTATTTTATTTCTTTGAAAGGCAGAGTTACAGAGAGAGAGATCTTCCATCTGCTCCATTACTCCCCAGATGGCTGCATCTGCCAGGGTTGGTCCAGCTAGAAGCCAAAAGCTTCATCCAGGTCTCCCATGTGGGTGGCAGGGGCCCAAACTGTTGGGCTGTCTTCAGCTGCTTTCCCAGGCTGGTTAGTAGGGAGCAGGATTGGAAGTGGAGCAGCTGGACCCATATGGGATATAGGTGTCACAGACAGTGGCTTCCCCTGTTACGCCACTGCGCTGGCCCCAGACATTTTCTAACTAACACAAGCTCATATTATATTTGTTGAGGAGACCTACTCATCACACTCTGGAGATGACCATGTGTTTTCCTTCCCTTATTGTGTGAGCATGGTGAAGAGCCGCAGCATAAGCTTGGGACCTTCCCTGTGAAAGCATAATTTTGCTTTGGTTCAAAGTTTGGACTCCAGAGACAGATTGGCTTTGATTCCTGACTATGTGCTCTTGGGTAATTAAAATGACTTGATCTCACCAGGTCTCAGTTTTCTCTGTGAAAGGGAATAATAATAGGACCTCCTTCCTAGGGCTGCTGTGAAGAGTAATTGCAACTAAAGCCTTTAGAATGGTTCCTTGGGTAACCGTTCCATAATAATTCCCTCTAAAGATTTTAAGTATTCTTGATCTGAATGTTTGATGAGTTCTTAATATATATATATATATATTTTATTTATTTATTTATTTTTTGACGGCCAGCATGCTTTGGCCAGTGCTGCGCCAATCTGAAGCCAGGAGCCAGGTGCTTCTCCTGGTCTCCCATGCGGGTGCAGGGCCCAAGCACTTGGGCCATCCTCCACTGCACTCCCTGGCCACAGCAGAGAGCTGGCCTGGAAGAGGGGCAACCGGGACAGAATCCTGTGCCCCGACCGGGCCTAGAACCCAGTGTACCAGCGCCACAAGGCGGAGGATTAGCCTAGTGAGCTGCGGTGCCAGCCAACTCAATATATATTAATAATACTAATAAGTATCTGAGTACAGATAGGATGTTATAATTACTTCTTTGGCTCAAATAACATTTCTGTGCAAATGAAAGACTGTGCAGTATATTTGTAGACAGTTTCAGCAACAGGAAGTTAGCTGTTGGATTCTGTGAGTTGGCAAATTTAAAGGAATGCCAAGGGTCCTGGGCAAGGGATTGGGCAGGGGTGGCTTCACTCCTGACCCTTCCATTTACGTTTTTGAAGTATCCTGTACGGCTTCCTAGGCGCTGATGTCTTTGGCGTTGGAGTTGAGGCCAAGGCAGGAGTTGGCTTAGGCTGGATTTGCTTGCCAGTGTTGGTTCATTCATTTAACAGACTAGCTTCTTTCTGATAGTTCTGCCCTCAAGGAGCTTTTAGTCTATTAGAGAAATGGGCTGTTATCTCCACCACTGAATGAGAATGAAGACATTAGTCTGGATGGAGGAAACCTATTTTTCTGTTCTGGCCTCAGGGCAAGCCTTAGAGTGAGAGCTTTGCAGGGCTGTTCATCCTAAGTGAAAGGGAGGAGTTAGACATTCCAGGAGGTGTGACCTGCAAGTATGAATAAATGCCTAGGGAC